CTCAACCCCCCCGCCCCCCCCAGCCGCTCCCCAGCAGCCTGGGGCTCCAGGCCCCTCCCCAGCTCCGCTGCCCTTCTCTGGACATGCTCCAGCACCATATATATATGAACACACTCATCGCAACCCTCAGGGGAGCAGGACTTCTTGTTGGGAAGATGCTTTATAGTGAGCTGGAAGGGGGCTGGCTGCAGAGTCTGCAGGCCAAGGTGATACCCAAAGGCTGCTTCTCCCTTACTCCGTGAGAGCCACAAGCTGGTATAGGGTTCCCTTACCTGGGCACTGGCACTGGGATGTCCCCTTCATTGTCCCCCAGCATCTCCTTGAGGGCCTCCGCATTTGCTGAAGAGAGAGGAAAAAGGGAACATGTTGGCCAAAGAGGTCAGCAAGTCTCTGGGCCAGCCCTAGGGAATGCTCACCTTCATTCTGGATGATGCATCTCACGATCTTCTCCACAGTGTCCTCGTTCAGCTCCTCCTCTTCATCTGAAAAGAGAAAACGTGGCACTGAGGGCTGGGCTCTGGGCGCTCAGCTCGCCCGTCCCTCCCCAGGAGCAGCCACGTCAGTGGAGAGGTCGGGGAAGCCTTGTGTCCCCCATCACGCCAGGAAGCCCCTGGGGAACGTCAGATCCCTCACCCTGGAAAAGAAACGGCTAAAGCAGCAGCCATGTGTGCGAGGAGAGGGGGATCGTGTGGCTCCTCCAGAACTGGGGGGCATCCCATGAAACGAGTGGGAAGCGGGTTCAAAACAAGTTCAAAGAGAAGGCTCCTCTTGGGGACATTCCGGTCCTGGCGACCCTGGGTGCAAGATGCTGCAGGTGCTAAAACTCTCCAAGGGGAGAGAACTCTCCAAGTTCAGAGAAAAGAAACCCATTGGGGCCTGTTAAATATGGAGAAACCATCTCCGATGGAGAAAGCCCCAGAGCTACGCGCTGTTAAGAAGCTTAAAAGAGTATGCTGGGGAAACTTGGCTCGGTGTCTGCTCCGATGTGGCCTTCATCCCTGGGATTCATTGCAACCTGCTTCTGGCCACTGTTGGAGCCTCAGTGGGCTGGACCTTCAGCCCGGTCTGCAGTGCTATACGTTCCCGAGAGCCGGGCAGAGCGGCGGTCCGGTAGGAAGCTGCCCCAAAGAGCACGGTCAGGGGCTGCTGCTGCGCTCCGGGAAGACCACAGAGATGTTTCCTTGGGCTGCGGCAACTCCAGCGGGCAAAGCCAACCCTGGAACATCCAGATGCTGTCTCCATGGCACGTGCAGCCAAGTCATTGAAGCCAGAGGAGCAAATCCAAAGGCACCTGGAAGCTCCTGCTGCATCCGTGGGTGATCTGAGGGAGCCACATTTCCCTCCTGCGCACGAGAAGTGGCCGTGGGAGGTGCTGACCCTCCCGAGCGCTGCCAGCGGCACAGAGGAGCCGGAGGAGTTCTGTATCACCATTTGGCTGTTTTCCGGCAAGGACGCAGCCGGAGGAACGCGTTTTCTCCATTTCAGCAAAGACTCATGAAAACACGAAATGACGGAGCTTGCTTGGGCTGAGCTCTGGCTTGCACCCCCACTGGGTGCTGCAGTGGCTTCCCAATCCCGCACCCCAAGAGCCACTTGTAATGACCTGAAGTGATGGAAGAAGCCCTAAAGGTCCCCTTCCCGCGTGGGGCAGAAATCCCGAGGAAACACTCCTATTCCCCTGGCCTCACGAGCACAACAGGGACTAGAAGAGCCCATGAATGAAAGTGAACACCATGCTGGCCCCGTACCGGACCTCCAAATGCCAAAGGGGCAGAGGGGCAGCCCGTGCCCTGGCTGGGGATGCTTTCCTTGTAGGGGACATGGGTTATAATCCAGGCGCTGGGGATTTGGCAGGTCCTGGCTATTGATCAGAATTATTATTTGGTGATAACGCTGCTTTGGGAAGGGCCAGAGGCTGGCTCCCACCTCCCTGGCACCACCAGCCTTCACCAGCCTCCAGAGCCAGCAGATCAAGAGGGCTCTCCGTACCGCACGCTCGCGACCCCCAGGGAACGCCATGCTGCTCTCGCCACCCCATCCTCTTTTTTCCATCCCAGTGGCAGGCGATGGGTAACCCTCCCACCCCTAGGCCACACCCCAGAAGCGGGTTCAAGGAGCATCGGTCCATGCCAGCGAACAACAGCACCCAAGTCCCCGCTGAGCCCCAGTTGCCCCAGCACTCACTGCCCTGGAGCTCCGCCAGCACATCTTTGTTATCTGGGTCGAGCTCATCCCGGAAAGTCCGGCACCGGTAACCCTTCTTCTTCAGGACATGGCAGATCAGGAAACCCACCAGCCCCATGATGAAGAAGACGAGGACGAGGAGGAAGACCATAGACAGGCTGTGCTGGGGGTCTGACTCCCCATCGTCGGTGCTGTTCTGGTCTGACATGCGGATCTAGGAGAAGGGGGAAGGCAGATCAGAGACCCCGCTGCTCACCTCCCGCCAGGCTCCCCATGCCCATCCTCCTCCTCCTCTTCCTCCCGTCCACCTTGGGCTAGAGCCAGCTCCCGGCTCGGGGTGGGCTGCCAGGTCCATCGAGGAGCGGGCAGGCTGGGGGCGGCTCAGCACA